TCAGCATTTGCTGAATGTAAACACAAATTGTTCTATATACTATGTAGATATAAATACTCTGTTGAAGGGAGAGAATATTTAAGCAATGATGTAAAGTTAAACAATAATTTAATTGTAATAATTTTGTAAAAATGCATTTTTACTTTGACTATAGTTATGTTTTGTAAAAGCTTTTCAAGTGAAATTTTGTTGTATATGATTGGTGTGTAAAAACAATAAAAAGGAAACAAACATCTAAGGCTGTGAATACTTTTTATATGCATTTGGAAAAGCCTCAGTTTAATATTAGTCTGAATCAAAATCCATAAAGGTTTCAAAGTTGGGTTTAATTTGTGTTGTGGGCGTATAACACTAAATAAACACATCTACAGCCACGTAAGTTTAACATAAATGAGAAAAGAGCTTTTCAGAAAATCTAATTTTAAATTAATACACAAACCACAGAAGAAGAAAATATTTAGTCTTGAATAATAACTCAAACTCAGTTACTGGTTCCTGGATTTGAATGACATTATAAAGTGAATGATGAACCACGTATAATAACGTACTTTGATAAGTGATGTTGACTGCATTGCTGAACTCTCCTGATCCAGACTCACACCAGAAAACTGATTTATGGGACCATGTTCTGTTGAAGGTGCATGAGGATCCAGTCATTGACCCCCAGGTGGTGCATGGACATGATGAGAAACCTGATTCTCTAAACTCCTTCACTCTCCACTCAGTAGAGTTTCCTCCACAGTTCAGTGTCACAGACTCAGAGGTGAAGTGTTGCTCTCTGTCAGGACTCACTGAGAGAGACGCTGCTGGATGAGGTTCTGGAATACGAGGAAAAACAGAGGTCGAGAAAAAGACAACCGATAATAAAATTTATGTTGTACAGGATCTTTTCCTTTTTTAGGTTACTTTGTAGATTTCAGCTTCAGCACTGTATGTGCAATCATAATACAAGCAAATTCATTAGTTTAAAAACATCTTTAAAAACCAAGTAATTCTGTTATTCTCACTGTTTTTCCAAAATGTCCAGTCACTCATTTGTTTTTAATAATTCAAC